TATATCTATGTATACCTATAGTATTTATAAAAATAAAAAAATGCATTCGTATGAACATATACGCACACACGCCAGCCCTGAGGTTGTTTCTCACATAAACGTGTGAATATGAATTACACAGCACAAGGAAAACCTCATTTTGAATTCATTAATGAAAATCCTCTATAGTCCTCGCTATATACCATTTCATCTTAACACGAGTTATATCATCCTTTGTACGGAGTTTTTCAAAGGTACGTGAATACTTTTCATATGAAAAACAAATGGAAATATAAAAATATCTGACAAGTCGTTATTATACACACAATGAATATTTAAAAAAAAAATAATACATTTTCCCAAAATTTACACAAAAGTTCTTTATAACTTAGACATTTTATAGTCTTATAGAATTTATATTTGTATAAGGCAAATCCATTAATATCTATTAAATATATCATATTATTATATACATTTAGTTAGCTTACAATTATTTTCACAAATCCGAGATGAGTTTTATACTTGTATGATATGTAAAGKGATTTTATTTAAACGTTAAAGTAGATTATACACAATATAATTATAATAAATAACTTTGCTTCACATATACCCTTAAAAACCAAAATTCAAATATTTGAAATTCAAATTTTCAAATATTTTTAATTGCAAGAAATTTTTTTTTAAAAACAATAGATGAAACGCTTGTTTCATATTTTTATTTTTGAATAACAAAAATAACGTAGACGTGACGCTTGAACGCACTGTTATTTGATGACATTTTAAAAGAAAGTAGACAGATATTTTAATATTAAAAATAATTATTATACCTATTGTTGTGGAAGGCATCTTAATTTAAATAACAATACTAAAGACGAAAATATAACACAAAAAATATAGAATATTGCATAAAAAATACGTCAAATATATAATATGCAAATTGCATAATGCAATACATTTTTCTCGGTATTCAAACGATAAACCGAAAATGGTGAACATTTTTTACTCCAAGAACAATTGAGTTTCGAATTTTCTAAAACTTTCAAGTTGTTATAGAACAACGTGTATTTTGGCTTCTTTTCGAATGATAACTCTAGACAATCAGGGGCGTGATGAGGGGGATATATCCCCCCTAGAGCCTATATAATGTGTATATTTATAATATATTAATTTGAAGCTTATGGAATTATAATATGTTTTATCGTGCTGACATCACGACGAAATATATTAAATATAATTAATATTAAGAAATCTATAAATTATTATTTAATTTAAAASTAAATTTTAATTCTAATATATTCAAAATTTACATTTTGAAGAAATTATTATAATATTTTATAGGTACTAAATTGTGTAGAATTTTAAAGCACATTTAGTAATACATTTTGTGTACATATATATTAGTTTAAGAATTTTTGATGAAATATTGTCCTTGAAAATCTAAGTATTTTGTGTGGAAAAAATGTTTATCCCCCCCGAAGACAAATTCCTAATTACGCCACTGTAGACAATACTATATATTTTTTGTTGTATATAAAAATAGTAAATGGTCGAATAAGTCATACCAAACATAGATTATATTATATATTAAACATAACTGATAGGTCGACTTATAAAAAAATAATATCGATAAAACTATGAATTAGTTTTTCAGTTCTGGTCTCAATAAATTTGTGAATAAAGTCGGCCTTCAAATTTCTTGAGGAATAACGGATCATCRTAATTGTCGCATGAGCAGTGATAGGATTCATCGAGCAGACGAAAATTTAAATCATCTGTGTCAATATATTTTGATAAGTTCACCACACGATGATAAAAAAAAACCCCTCGCCATTCAAATCCGGAGTTTTTTTTTATTTAAACACCCTGTATATTATACACGCATATCACATGCAATTATATATAGTTATAAATAGTCGACGAAATTTTCTAAGAATTATGCTAGTCTTATTAAACGAATTTCCTCGYTATAATCGCTTCCAACCCGATGAAACTCACCTCCAAACAACAATATTTGTGGCAAATGATTAATTGAGACAAATGATCGCAAATTTAAAGAATGCACATAAGTCAACTAATACTATTCATGTAGTTCGTCATTATTCGGTCATTAAGAATCCACTTTCATGAATATTTTATTTGTTATCATTGTACAAGTTTGGATAGGAACGACCAATTAAAACATTGATAAAATAGACACGTGACATATTATAAAAAAAATTATCACCTAGTATTATAACCGCTTCGTATTTTTCGTATAGAATAATATCAGGGTGGCTATGTACATTTTGAAAGTAGATGATGGCGTGTCCTAAATTTTTAGCATAATTATTGTTGTTGACAATTGTATAATTAGCATATTATTTCGGTGAGATAAACGACATCATCAACACAATTTATATATAGAACTAAAGAGTATAAGTCCTCTAGGATGTTTAAGCCATTGGATAACAGTACGTGTATTTATTTCACATAATATAATATAATTTTATTAGAGTTTTATGATAATTTATACAAGTAACTAAAAAAATTATTTAACTTTTTATTTAGRCTATGCATTATAATAATTTATTATGCGCATTGCGCAGTCAGTACAAATTATTATATACAGTAGAACTTCGATTAACCGTCACTCTCTGTTATCCGTCATCGGTCATCGCCGAAAAAAAAAAATAATTAGGCGATTAGACGATTGTGATAATACTTCTACGTCAAATACGTAATATTGCTGCTAAAAAAGCTAGAGAATCAAAAAACCAAACTAAAATTACAGATTTTTTTTTATAATAAGTGTGGTATGTACGAGATGTTTATAATTTATATGTGTTATAATAATTTATTTATATGTTATATTTTTTTTATATGTATTATTTTTAAAGTACACACACGTAAAAATATAATAAATGTGTGTATATGTATGTACACGTTTTTTTTTTTGCAAAATTTCCGTTAACCGTCTATTCGATTAACCGTCATAGCCCCGGTCCCGACAGTGACGGTTAATCGAAGTTCTACTGTATTGACAAAATATAGATTATTGACATCTATTAAATTTTAAGAGTAAAAAAATATTAATCATYGTTATAAATATATTTATGAACGTGGGTATTTCTTTTATTGTTGGATTAGGAATAATATAAAAATTTGCATAAATTTGATCCTCGTTTCGGCAAAAAAAAAAATTTTATCAACAATACATTAAGATTAAAAAAAAATTTTTAACTGTAACCTAACTTTAAGGTTAAAAAAAATTATTGCATAGGTACATATTATTTATYGTGCATTGGATTTTGTCCACAATATAATTTAATTAAAACAATTATACTTATAAAAATATCTCAATTTCTTTAAGTCGTTGAATCTTGTGATTTTTTTACCATCGTTTTGTTTTTAGTTATCTCTAGTCGTCGTTAAAGTGTTATTAACGTTGTATTTAAGTGAAACGGAGAACAAAATAAACAAACGTTTTAATTGAAGTTCTACTCATTAACATTTACGTTCATCTTTTTTTTTCATTAGTACCGAGCTTTTACAAAACAACAACTTTGTACACTCACGGTTGCATATTCTATGTATATCCTCTACATACAGTGCTCATCTGGAAAAAAACATTAAATATAAAATGTTAGCAATTATAATATTTTGTTATGCTGTGTAAGTATAATACATCTCAAATACATAACTACATAATATAACAAATATTGCAGTTTAACACGATTATTGCTCTATGGTGTACGGTATTAGTACTGGAATGAGTATAATGACGAATAAAACACAGAACCAATTCGTAAAATAATTATATGATGATAAAATTGTTTTCTTGTAAGTGTTTATTTACTCGATTCAACTGATGATTAAGACTGCAATTTAACAGAACAGATTGGCTTCAAAATTTACAATACCAATCACTGTTTAATCAATTCCATGCTTACTTTCGTTAATTAAAACAAAAACAGAATAGCTAGATATAAATAATAACATCTATAAGCATAAATTCAAGCTACTAATCGTGTGCATGTACAATAGTAAGTATATGTGGATATGTAAAAATTAAAACCATGACAGATAGGTACTAAATATGAAACTATTTTAAGTTTGAAATTTGAATTACTAAATTGTATATCCTTAAAACAATAATTTAGACTAAACATTTTTGGCCAGTGGTTACATTATTTTTGTATAGAATTTTTATATTTACATAAATAGGTAAAAATTGAGATAGAAATTCAACCACAGATTTATTAAATCCAATGCCAATGGTCTTCGTTGGACACTACTATAGTTGAATGCGGACTCCTTTGAATAGATCCAGCGTACAAAAACTTATATCTGATCGCATTTTCAATGTCTATACTCTGACCATTTCACTTGCAAACAAACCCTTACAGTCTTATCACAGGTTCATTGTATAAGTTATTGTTATTGGACAAATGTTATTGATACCAATATAGAATAATACACCAAAATGCAATTCGAGCATTACAAATGTACCCGTGATAATTTTATAAAGTTAGTTGTCTTTGTGT